GGGGGGGGGGGAAAAAAAGGGGGGGCGGCGGCGCCCCCCGCCTATCGCGGCACTATCGCGACATCGCCGCCGCACTATCGCGACATTATCGCCATTCCCCGGCCGGCCGGGAGCGCCTGGGCCGCCTCGCGAGCCTCCGGTGAGCGCGGGGAGAGGAGGGGGCGGGGAGCGGCGGCGGCGCCGGGAGGGCCCTGAGGGGGCGGGGGGGGAGGGGCGGCGCTGAGGGGGCTCTGTAGGGGCCTCTAGGGGTCTATAGGGCATCCTGAGGGGGTTATAGGGGATGTAGGGGATGTGGGGCATCCTGAGGGGGTTATAGGGGCATATAGGGGATGTGGGGCATCCTGAGGGGTTTATAGGGGATGTAGGGGTCTATAGGGCATCCTGAGGGGGTTATAAGGGCCTGTAGGGGTCTATAGGGCATCCTGAGGGGGTTATAGGGGCCTGTAGGGGTCTGTAGGGCATCCTGAGGGGTTTATAGGGGCCGGTAGGGGATGTGGGGCATCCTGAGGGGTTATAGGGGATGTAGGGGTCTATAGGGCATCCTGAGGGGGTTATAGGGGATGTAGGGGATGTGGGGCATCCTGAGGGGGTTATAGGGGCCTGTAGGGGTCTGTAGGGCATCCTGAGGGGTTTATAGGGGCCGGTAGGGGATGTGGGGCATCCTGAGGGGTTATAGGGGATGTAGGGGTCTATAGGGCATCCTGAGGGGGTTATAGGGGATGTAGGGGATGTGGGGCATCCTGAGGGGGTTATAGGGGCCTGTAGGGGTCTGTAGGGCATCCTGAGGGGTTTATAGGGGCCGGTAGGGGATGTGGGGCATCCTGAGGGGGTCTATAGGGGATGTGGGGCATCCTGAGGGGGTTATAGGGGCCTGTAGGGGTCTATAGGGCATCCTGAGGGGGTTATAGGGGCTTGTAGGGGATGTGGAGCATCCTGAGGGGGTTATAGGGTCCTATAGGGGTCTATAGGGCATCCTGAGGGGTTTATAGGGGATGTAGGGGTCTATAGGGCATCCTGAGGGGGTTATAGGGGATGTAGGGGATGTGGGGCATCCTGAGGGGGTTATAGGGGCCTGTAGGGGTCTGTAGGGCATCCTGAGGGGTTTATAGGGGCCGGTAGGGGATGTGGGGCGTCCTGAGGGGGTCTATTGGGGATGTGGGGCATCCTGAGGGGGTTATAGGGGCCTGTAGGGGTCTATAGGGCATCCTGAGGGGGTTATAGGGGCCTCTAGCGGTCTATAGAGCATCCTGAAGGGGTTATAGGGGCATGTAGGGGATGTGGGGCATCCTGAGGGGGTTATAGGGGATGTAGGGGATGTGGGGCATCCTGAGGGGGCCTATAGGGGATGTAGGGGTCTATAGGGAATCCTGAGGGGTTATAGGGGCATATAGAGAATGTCGAATATTCTTAAGGAATTCTATAGGCGCCTATAGGGGATGTAGAGCATCCTGAGGGGGTTGTAGGGGTTTATGGGGGCCTATAGGGGATGTAGGGCATCTTGAGCATGTTCTTTAGGGGCCTATAGGGGATGTAGGGCATCCTGAGCATGTTCTTTAGGGGCCTATAGGGGATGTAGGGCCTGTTGGGCATCCTTAGGGGTCCTATAGGGGTTTATAGGGGTCTGCAGGGGCTTTAGGGCATCCTTAGGGGGTTGTAGGGATCTATAGGGGGGCTGTGGAGGGTTTGTAGGGAGCTATAGGGGCCGGTGGGTGTTCTATAGGGGGTTCATGGCGGGCTGTAGGCGTCTGTGGAGGGTTTATGGGGTCTATAGGGGTCTGTGGGGTTCTGTAGGGGGTTGATGGGGTATATGAAGGGTCCATAGGGGTTTGTGGGGGTTTATGGGGTGTGTGAACATTCTGTAGGGGTTCTATAGGGGGTGTGTGGGGTAGATGAGGGGTCTGGGGGGTTTGTGGGGTGTATGGGGGTTCTGTAGGGGTTCTGTGGGGGGTTTAGGGGTAGATGAGGGTTCTGTAGGCGCTCTATAGGGGTTGATGGGTTATGTGAGGGTTCTATAGGGAATTTATGGGGTGTGTGAGGTGTCTATAGGGGTTCTGTAGGGGTTCAGGGGGTACATGAGGTGTCTGTAGGGGTTCTATAGGGGTTTAAGGGGTGTGTGAGGGTTCTATAGGGGTTCTATAGGGGTTCATGGGGTACATGAGGTGCCTGTAGGGGTTCTATAGGGGTTGATGGGGTGTGTGAGGTGTCTATAGCGGCTCCATAGGGGTTGATGGGGTACATGAGGTGTCTATAGGGGTTCCATAGAGGTTGATGGGGTGTGTGAGGGGTCTATAGGGGTTCAGGAGATGTGTGAGGTGTCTATAGGGGTTCTATAGGGGTTTGTGGGGTACATGAGGTGTCTGTGGGGGTCTATAGGGGATTTGTAGGTGGGGTCAGGGGGGATTTGGACGTTCCTGGGCAAGGCCTGAAGGGATTTGGGGGTTCCTGGGTGGAGTCAGGGGGGATCTGGGGGATCCTCGGTGGGATTTGGGGTCCTGGGTGGGGTCTGAGGGGATCTGGGGGTCCTGGGGGGATTTGGGGGGTCCCAGGGGGGTCCGGGGGGGATCTGGGGGTCCTGAGCGCCCCTCCCCCAGCAGGCGCCCCCCGAGGGGATGCCGAGAGCCCCCCAAGATGGCTGACAAGAGGAAGCTGCAAGGTGAGCACACCTGGGGGCGGGGCCTGCTCTCATTGGCTGGGACAGCGAGGGTGGGGGCACAGGGAGGCGCTGATTGGCTGGGACAGCTGGGTGGGGCTGGGCGGGGTCACAGGGAGGCGCTGATTGGCTCCGGGATCTGGGTGTGGCCCATGGGTGATTCTGATTGGCTGCAGGGCTTTGGGTGTGATAACATGAGGTTGTTATTGGTTGTGGAGCTCTGGGTGTGGTTTAAGGTTCTGATTGGCCGTGGGGTTGTGGGTGTGGCCTACAGCAGCACTGATTGGCTGTGGAGCTCTGGGTGTGGTAAAAGAGAGACTCTGATTGGCTGTGGGGTTCTGGGTGTGGCCCATGGGTGGTTGTGATTGGTTGTGAGGCTTTGGGTGTGGTTAAACGTTCTGATTGGCTGTGGGGTTCTGGGTGTGCCCTGTGGGTGGTTCTGATTGGTTGTGAGGCTTTGGGTGTGGTTAAACGTTCTGATTGGCTGTGGAGCTCTGGGTGTGGCCTGTGGGCAGCTTGGATTGGCTGTGGAGCTCTGGGTGTGGCCCATGGCTAATCCTGATTGGCTGGGGGGCTCTGGGTGTGGCGTGAGGGTGGTTCTGATTGGCTGTGACACTGTGGGCGGGGTCTCCCCGCCTTGCCCCGCCCCCAGGTGGTAAAAGAGAGACTCTGATTGGCTGTGGGGTTCTGGGTGTGGCCCGTGGGTGGTTCTGATTGGTTGTGAGGCTTTGGGTGTGGTTAAACGTTCTGATTGGCTGTGGAGCTCTGGGTGTGGCCTGTGGGCAGCTTGGATTGGCTGTGGAGCTCTGGGTGTGGCCCATGGCTAATCCTGATTGGCTGGGGGGCTCTGGGTGTGGCGTGAGGGTGGTTCTGATTGGCTGTGACACTGTGGGCGGGGTCTCCCCGCCTTGCCCCGCCCCCAGGTGAGATTGACAGGTGCCTCAAGAAGGTGTCGGAGGGGGTGGAGCAGTTCGAGGACATCTGGCAGAAGGTGAGGGGGGAGCACCCCAAAAACTGCCCAAAAATCCCCAAAAAATCCCCAAATCCCCCCAAAAAATCCCCCAAAAACATCCCAAATCCCCCAAAATCCCTCAAACCCCCCCAAAATCTCCCCAGAATCTTCCAAACTGCCCCAAAATCCCCCTGAAATCCCCCCTAAACCCCCCAAATCCCCCCCAAAATCCCCAAAATTCCCCCCAAAATCCCAAATTTACCCAAATCCACCCCAAAATCCCCAAAATTCCCCCCAAACCCCAAATCCCCCCAAATCCCCCAAAAATCCCCCTGTGCCCCAGCTCCACAACGCGGCCAACGCCAACCAGAAGGAGAAGTACGAGGCCGACCTGAAAAAGGAAATCAAGAAACTGCAGGTGGGAATTTGGGGGAAAAAACCGGGAAAATGGGACCCCAAACCCCGGGACCCCCAAATCCCCGGGGGGGCCAGGGGGGTTTTGGGTTTTTTTGAGATTTTGGGGATATTTTGGGGAATTTTGGGAGTTTTTGGGGTTTTTTGTGGAGTTTTTGGAGGGTTTTATGGGAATTTTTGGGGTTTTTTTGGGGAAGTTTTTGAGGTGTTTTTGGGGAAGTTTTTGGGGGTTTTGGGTTTTTTTTGGGGAGTTTTTGGGCTTTTTTGGTGGTCTTTTGATGAATTTTTGGGGTTTTTTGGGGAATATTTCCTTTTTTGGGTGGGAATTTTGGGATATTCTGGGCTGTTTTTTGATATTTTTGGGCTGGTTTGGGCTGGCTTTTGGATATTTTGGGCTGGATTTTGGATATTTTGGGACATTTTGGGCTGGTTTTGTGCTTTTTTTTGGATATTCTGGGCTGTTTTTTGATATTTTTGGGCTGGTTTGGGCTGGCTTTTGGATATTTTGGGCTGGATTTTGGATATTTTGGGACATTTTGGGCTGGTTTTGTGCTTTTTTTTGGATATTCTGGGCTGTTTTTTGATATTTTTGGGCTGGTTTGGGCTGGCTTTTGGATATTTTGGGCTGGATTTTGGATATTTTGGGACATTTTGGGCTGGTTTTGTGCTTTTTTTTGGATATTCTGGGCTGTTTTTTGATATTTTTGAGCTGTTTTGGGCTGTTTTTTGGATATTTTGGGCTGGTTTGGGCTGGTTTTTGGATATTTTTGAACATTTTGGGCTTGTTTTGTGCTGGTTTTTGGATATTTTGGGCTGTTTTTTTGGCATTTTGGGACATTTTGGTGCCCCCTCAGCAGCGGCAGGACCACATCAAGATATGGGTGGTGTTCAATGAGATTTTGGGCATTTTTTTGGGATATTTTGGGGATATTTTTGGCTGTTTTTTGCAATTTGGGTCTGTTTGGGACATTTTGGGCTGATCTTGGGGTATTTAGGGCTGTTTTTTGATTGTTTTGGGCTGTTTTTGGATATTTTGTGTTGGTTTTTTGGTATTTTTTGACATTTTGGGCTGGTTTTTGGATATTTTGTGGTGTTTTTTGGACATTTTGGGTTGGTTTTGTGCTGTTTTTTGATATTTTGTGCTGTTTTTTGGTATTTTGGGCCACTTTGGGCCATTTTGGGATGTTTTGGTGCCCCTCAGCGGCTGCGGGACCAGATCAAGACATGGGTGGCATCAACGAGATTTTGGGTTGGTTTTTGGATATTTTGGGCCATTTTGGGCTGGTGAGAATTTGGGGGAAAAAATGGGGGTTTGGGGAAAAAAATGGGGAATTTGGGAATAAAAATGGGGGTTTGGGGAAGAAAAAAAGAGAATTTGGGGGGAAAATTTGGGGTTTGGGGAAGAAAATGAGAATTTGGGGGGAAAATTTGGGATTTTGGGGGGAAAAATGGGGGTTTGGGGAAAAAAAATGGGAATTTGGGGGAAAAATGGGATTTTTTGGGGGGAAAAATCGGATTTTTTTGGGGAATAAAAAGGGATTTTTTGGGGAAAAAATGGGATTTTTTAGGGTATAAAAATGGGATTTTTTGGGGGGAAAATGGGGTTTTTGGGAAAAAATGGGATTTTTGGGAAAAAAAAGGGGATTTTTAGGCAGAAAATATAATTTTTAATGGCTCTGAGGTTCAGATCCCCCAAATTCAGATTTTTTCTTTCATTTTTGAGATTTTAGCTCATCTAAAATTCACATTTTTCTCCCAGTTTTCATGTCTCTGAGGTTTTTTCCCACCCTAAATTCCCGTTTTTCTCCCATTTTTGGGATTTTACCTCCTCTAAAATTCAGATTTTTCTCGGATTTTCCCCATTTCTGACCCCCAGCCCCCCAATTCTCCCTTTCCCCCCCTCCCAAACTCATGGTTTTTTCCCATTTTTGGGATTTTTAAGATTTTACCTCCTCTAAAATTCACATTTTTCCCCCATTTTTGGGAATTTTAAGATTTTACCTCCTCTAAAACTCCCATTTTTCCCCCATTTTTGACCTTTTACCCCCTCTACAATTCACATTTTTCTCCCATTTTTTTGGATTTTTATGATTTTACCTCTTCTACAATTCAGATTTTTCCCCCATTTTTTTATCATTTACCTTGTCTAAAATTCCCATTTTTCTCCCATTTTTGACCTTTTACCCCCTCTAAAACTCACATTTTTCTCCCATTTTTATGATTTTACCTCCTCTAAAATTCACACTTTCCCCCCATTTTGACCTTTTACCCCCTCTAAAATTCACATTTTTCTCTCATTTTTTGGATTTTTAAGATTTTACCCCCTCTAA